CCCCAAAACCCCAAAACCCCAAAACCCCAAAACCCCAAAACCCCTCTTCTCCTCTAAACTGCAATATTAGAGTTGTGCCTTCTCCTCTCAGACTCTGATCCCAACTCGAAACCAATTAATCAGCTAAGGGCTTGTTTTCTTCATCAATTACACTGATGTGAGACAGTCAATGCGAATTCAGTAGTTCAGAAACCTTCGAAGTTGATATCTTTCAGCCGCTTACATTGACCTGGGTGAGGGAGTCCTTGAGAGAAGAGTTTTTGATTGCGACGATGATCTGTTCGAACTTTTCAGGAGACTCGTCCCACCTCATATTGCACCAGCGGTTCCCTCAGTTGAAAAAACTGAGGTACTTGAGCTTAGCTTTGCTTGGAGTTGAGAAATCAAGAGAGGCTGAAGTTGAAATTTTGCTTCATCTAATTGTCAGCCTCTCTGCATTGGAAGCCCACGTGACTATTCGACTCAGATCAGTGTCGTCGACCACCAAGCATTCCAGGTAAACTTCCTTGGTGACTTTCGGAATAATCTCCTTTAGGCCTTCCAGGTAGAATTTTATTCTCACTGCTTTGTCTCCATAGCCTGGATAACTATGGTTGAAGACAAAGAGTTTGAGAGAGAAAGGAGAAGAGTAAGTCATGAACTTGTTGAGGGAAGTATCTCCATTGACCATTCTGTCGATCTTCAGCTTGTGCATGTCTCCAAGGGAATACTTGCTCTCTTCCATTGCTTTCACTAGTTTCTTTGTCTTTTCTTCTTTCATGTTGAGTTCAAGTTTTGTAGAATCAAGGTCGAAGTCTTTGTGAGTACTTTTGATACGATCTCTGATCGTATCTTTAGACTCGACTACATAACTTGTATTTTCTTTGATTTCTATGTGGTGGTCTGTTAGTTTACTTACCTTCAATCATTTTGGAAATTTCTTCCTGATATTTCTTGTTTTGATCTTTAGCTTGCTTAATCTCCTCAACTTTCTGTGATAACTCTCTTTCAAGTTGCGCCTTCTGATCCTGTAGAACCTGATTCTCAGCGAAGGCTTCTTGTTTTTGTTTCAACATATCTTGGGCTTGTCTTAACACCTGCTCTGTCGCTAGTTTCTGTTCTTCTATTTCGATATCTTGAGACTCTTTCTGTTCCTTCAACTCCTGAATACGCTCTTTGAACTCTTCTGAGAGTCTGTCTTTGCATTGCTGTTCAATTTCTCTGACTTCTTTTTCTAACTTCTTCTCCATTAATTTAACATTTTGCTTGACAACAGTATCAATTGTTTGCTCAACCTTGATGGCTGAAGAGAATTCTACAAGTCAGAATTGTTGCTTACCATCGCTGACTCTCGGAAGGCCATATCTACTCGCATCTCTGGTGGTGGACAGGAACAAAATATCTTTGATAACTTGCTCATCTGCCATACGGTTCTGTATCCTATATGCCAATGTGAGCTGATAAAATGCACTTAGCTGGAGGGTGTATATTTGAAGATTTTTGGAGACGTACTCTCTTATCTGGGATCTGAGAGTGTCAAATTGTTCATGGTGATCACGAGCAATGGCTTCATCTATTTTTCTTTCAATTTCAATCAAGTCTTCCAGGTAATCTTTGATGACACTGTCAATGTTCGGAAGATAAACTTCCAACCCATTCTCCGTTGCCAGTTCCTGAAACCTAATTACTAATTTCTGGACTTCCTTTACATCAGTTCTGAGATCGATGAGATCTTGGATGATGGCAATTTGACATTTGTAGTGCATTTTGCTGACTCATCCTTTACAAGAATAGACTTGATGGTCTCTGCAGAAGTAAAATCTGTGTTGTTTGCATGCAAGGTCGCTGCATTGTAATCTATGACAAGTTTATACATTCTGAAATTAAAGACATCACCCAAGATAGTCTAACTTACCTTCGAGGGATGATGTGATTGCCTTTCATTTTAGAAATAAGCTCTTATATCTTTGAAATTAAAATTCAACCCAGATATTTATTAAAGGGGTTTTGGGGTTTTGGGGTTTTGGGGTTTTGGGG